ATGTACATATACCTCTAAATACATAAATACACAGCATTCAGTCTGTATAATGCTACTTGTTTTATACATGTTTTCAAGGCTGACCGTTTGGTCCTGGATAACCCTGGGGAAGGCTGCCCCTCCCACTCTCAGCATGCTTTAGTTATCTGTAGTTCTTTGTGTGTTGTGGAAGCTTCATGGTCATTTATTCATCCTCTTTAATGTGACTGCTATTGTTGGCCTTGCACAGCTTATCAAACTCTGAGTTTTAGTCTATTTGTATTTATTAAAAAAGTTTGGAGGCTTATAAAACAAATCACTTTTTTCCTTCCCTCCCTCACAGAGTTACCCCTGGACTACAAATTTACAAGATTCTCTACCAACAGTTCAAAAACGGCTGGATACTATCCCTTGGTCCATTATAGCTTGGGTTGTCAAGACACAGACAGCAAAAGAATCTCTACTGAAAAATGAACCAACCATATGTACAGTAGACACACTGTTTGAAAAATGTTAATTTTCCACAGCAAGGCAAATGTTTTATAAGAGCAACTTTTTAATGAAAATTGACCAAATGGATACTTGTCAGTCTGTCTTTTTAAAATATAAGTAATTTTATATAAATCATTTTAATGTCTAACAGTTCTTGTTATATTAATATTTTCAGTACCCTGGACTAAAAGAGAACATGACTGATATTTTCTATACTGTCAGTTTTGAGGATTCTCCCAAAACGATAACAAACACATGCAAGTACGCATTCATACATCTCCCTGGTCCAGCAGTTTCCAAATCCTGGTCCACAGACTAATAGCAGCGCAACATAGAATTTGAAAATGCAGATCTGAATGTTTCATTCCAAACCTACTGAATCAGAAACTTTGGGAGTGGGGCCAGCAATGGCTTTTAAGCAAGCTTGCAGTAAATCTGATGCTCTATTATGATTTGAGACCTAGTAAGTCAACCCTGCGCTGAGTATTCATGCTGTTAATTGAAAGTGTAACCTGAATTGATAACACCAGAGTCTAGTGAAAACAGGTTATTGTTCCAAGCCAATAGGCTTTTTGATATTTCCTCCCCCCCAAAAAAAATACATAAAGAGAAATGATTTCTTAAGATAATATTACCTCATTCCTTAGTATTAATTTCTCACATTAGGAAGAAGTTAAATTTATACCTATTAAACTTAAGGTCCAGCTTTGTCCTTGGGAAGGGAGCTCAAAGAAGCACTCTACAGTTGTAAAGGTACACTTCAGGTCAGGATATGTTGTGTTCTGTGTGGTTTTAATTAGTTAGTATATGCATCAGATCATGTTTACACAAGATGTTTAGATTCAGTTGATATTTGTAAGTTCCTGAGTCCTCTTTTCCCTGCTAACTTTACTGTCCATAATGGACAGGATTAAAAAACATTATCATTATTTTTTCTTGGAATTTAGCATATTAACACATGCACTGAAAAACTATTTTCCTAAAATTTCCAAATATTCTGATAAATCTCAACTGTACTATGAGGATGTGTTTCTCAGGGTAATTAAAAAGGATACAGAACCTATTTCTTTATTATCAGTATCTTTGTTGTTGATCGGTAAGAATACAGATACAGAGATATATTTGATATCCAAAATGTCATTAGAGTGTTATAATGAGCACACGCAATCAAGCTTAGGGCCAAATAAAAGATGCTATCTATTGTATGCTTTAAGTAGAGATTTCACTTTGCTTTAAAATAAAGCTATTTTTCCCTATAGATGTTTCCTGTGTTATGGAATAAGAATACTTTTTCATTTATATTTGTCTATGTGCTTGCCTGTGCCTGTGCCTGCCTCTGTGTTCCTATGAGTACATGTGTGTGCCTGTGTATGAGTCTGTGTGTGTGTGTGTGTGTGTTTGTGTGTGTGTGTATTCTTTTCCTTTACCATGTATGTCCCAGTGATTAAGCTTAGGTCAGTTCACACTTGGGGCAAGTGCCTTTATTTACAGAGCCATCTTGAGATCCAAGAATGCATGTTTCAATGCTTATAAATGGTTGTTGGTATAATAATCGAGAAGCCCAAAATTTAAAAGTTAATTGTACTTCTTTTGCCCACTAAAGAGCAAGGGAAAAAGTAACTTCAAGTGAAAAGTCCTTTTTCAGTTCCCATCTAAAGACTGTGAGCCAAGATGCTGCCTCATCCAACCTCATCTCTTCCAGCTTACAGAGAGAGCTGGAGTTTAGAGTGCCCTGCCTCTTGTGTCACCTACTGGCTTGTCACTGCTGCCTCTAGTGAGTGCTTCTGTGTTAAGCTACGTTTAAATTTTATCTCATGCTTCATCAGTGTTTCTAACTAGGTAGGAAAGGTGAATATAGTGCTGGCAAGATGGCTTTGTGGATAAAAGTGCTTGCTGCACAAATCTGATGTCCTGAGGTTAACCTCTGAAACCCATGTCAGGGTAGAAAGAGCAAATTGATGCCATAGACTTCTTCTCTCACCTTTACACACAAGCTGTGGCACATTTGTATACAAATACACTCCATAAAAAAACATTAAATGGTAAAAGTTTTTAAAAATTCAGTAGCATCATAAAAATTAAAAAGATGGAGCTGGAAAGGTAGGTGGCTCATCATTTAATAGTTCTTGCTGCTCTTGCAGAAGACCTGAGCAGTTCACAATCCCTATAACTCCAGTTCCAAAGAATCTGAAGCCCTCTTCTGGCCTCCTGGTCTCCATAGTGACCAGGCATCCTTACATAAAATGAATAAGGGTTTTCTGATTAAAAAGAACACTAATGAAAAACTGTTTATTCTTTTTAGTATATCATATTTATCTATGTGTGTGCCTGCTTGTCTGTATGCACACATGTATGCAGCTGCCCATGCAAGCCAGAAGACAGGCCTCTGAAGCTGGATTATAAATGATTGTGAGCCACTAGATATGGGTACCAGGAACCAAACCAGAGTCCTCTGTGAGAGCAATGAGTGCTTCTGACTACTGAGCTCTCTCTCTCTCTCCAGCTCATGTTTTTTCCTTCATAGTTATGTGCACTAAAAAAGCATGGAACTTTCTGACACGACCACTAGTGGGGGCGGGGGAGTACTGATAACCTAAGACCTGTACCGATGTTTATCACTTAGAATACTGTTGTCAGTATTATAATACCTTGTGAGCTGTCGTTTCCAGTTATGCTAACTGTATCGCCCTTGGACTACGTCTTTTTCTTAAGGGGCTTAAAATAGCCTCTGGAAACAAACATGGTGGAATCTGTGAGTGCTACTTTATTTCCCTGCAACAGTGTGGTGCTTTGAAAAGAGTACTCAGTTGTACATACCTGTAATACTGGCACTTAGGGAGACGGAAGCAGGAGGATCCAGACTTGGAGATCAGCCTGGGCTACGCACATGGTGCCACCTTGCTTAGGAAGACAAAACAGTTAACAGGAATACCCAAAACATGACTCTGTGACTGAAATATATCTAAACACCTAAAAGATTTCACAACTTGAGTTTTGAGTAATAGTTTTCTCTTGACCCACTATTCATTAAAGGTTTAAAGGCTAAATACTTCTGCATTATCTGTATTAAGGTATGGATGCTATATTGTCTAGGAAAATGAAGAGGCAAATATTTTTAGCCAACTAAGCAAAACTTGAGCAAATGCATCAAATTTTCTGTTAAGTTAAAAATTGTCAAGTAGCTGGGTAGTCTGAGGCAGGTCTTGCTGACGTCACTACCTCAGGGCTCAGAGATGTGAGAGAAACCCCTCCTTATTTTGCCAGTGGACCATCTCCGGTGGCCTCTGCCTTTTTCCTGTCCTAGAAGTAGTCAGTGTGCACCACCATTCCCTTTATTTAGAGCTTTAATCTGTCAAAGGTATTGTCATTCTGATGAGGCAGCACCACTCACTGGCTGCAGGTCAACCTGGCTTCTGTTCTGCTTTATCTGTGAAAATTAGATGCTGATGTCACTTGCCAAACAGCTGGCTCATTCCTACAGCCTTGTCCCTGCTCATTCTCTTGCATTTCTTGTTTTTCTTCCTCCATTTTAGATCCTAATTTCTTTCCTTCCTTCTTTTGATATAGTCTTAATATAAAATGTATGCTATATATGTACATATATATTGTATATCTTGTATATAGCTCAGCTGCCTGTGTACAGCTTTATAGCCCAAGCTGGCTTCAAACTCCAGTTCCTCCTCCCTCAGGCTCTCAAGAGCTGCAGTCACAGCTACCACACCCATTTCCCCTACTTAGTCTCTGTGCAGCCTCAACACCAGTTCAGATAGTCTCTCATCTGCTGGCTAAACAGGAAAAAAAAATCATTTTGGTCTGCTTAGTTCGTGTTGTTCTGTGAAATGCTTCATCTTTGCCCGACCGTATATTAGCCCAGACAGCATAGAGCTTTTTATTCACCTTTATTTATTTTTGGTGCAGACAAGAAACATAACAATAACATATCTTTCCTTCGAGCACACAGGAGAGAAGACAAAGGACTAAGATCCTCATTTAGTTGATAGCAGTTCTAGTCCTCACACTGGTTAAGAACATAATGTCAAGTATTACTTACTACAGCGAGAAATATCAGTAAGACGAGTTACATTTGTCTTTTTGGAACCACTTTTACAAGACATAGCAACAGTTTTCAAAAAATCTTCAGACTTCAGAGATCACATTGTGCGGATTGTACTTCTAAGAATACAGCTATATATGAACAGACACTAGAACGAGTTAATCTAGTAATGGATATTCACAGGAGTCTTCATACTGCAAATGACAAATTCAAATGTTTGCACTTGTTCTCAATGATTAGTAAAAGGCAGGCTTGTAAACATCAGTCCTGCCAGTCAGCTGACAGGGAGGACTAGGGTTTGGTCAAGCACAGTGGAGTGAGGAGTGCACACCATTGATCTCCCACAGACAAGGCTCACCCAGACTTATATCTGTTTACTGGTGGAGTTGAGAATTATGACAGACTATAGGAAAATCCTCCAAGCAACCCTTTTTAAATCCCAACCCCCTTGATCACCCTCCCTCCCCCTGCACTGGAATGTGTCTCAGGGACCCCTGCCCCCAACCCTGCACCTTTCATATGTCAGTCATCACAGCAGACCTAGAAAAACTCACTCTGCAACAGGCTCTTCCCTCTGGTCCTCCTCTTAAATTCCCAGCCTCCCCTGAAGGTATTCAGACCTCCTGAGCTCTGAGATGCTTCCGACAGGGTCTTGAAATCAGAAAGAGAATGGCTGAGGGCTACAGTAACAGGGGCCATACCAGCACTGTTGCAAATTCACTGGATTTTTGTCCTGCAAATCCAGATCCCTCCACATCCCCACATCCCTGAGAAGAGGCTTGGGTGTCTCCCTCCCACAATGCACTCTACAGCCTGCTTCCTCCTTTGTTAGGATGGAAACAAGGAAGGAAATTCAAAAGCTGACAGGTAAGGGACATTATCAGGCAAACACAACAAAGATGTCCCACATTGTTGAGCTCTGGTCATTTCTACAGGCTGAGGCCTGCAAAAGAAGTGCTGTCTTTTAGGAACGTGGGACAGGTGCATTCATTCACTGACTGCTCAGGGCAGGCACAGAGGTCTGTCACTGAGACTCTTCTTTCTCTTCTCCCATATTCTCAAACTAGAGCTTAAGAGAAACACAGCATCTGGTAGAATGGAGGGAAGAGTGGAGGTGGTCTCCCTTGAAATTTTCAGACGTTGCTAAGAGAAGGGTAGAATCGTCAGGGCAACAAGAGATTTGAAGTCCACACACACCAAGGGGAGAGCAAATAAAAAAAAAGCCTGCTGTCTGTTTTGTTTTTCTGTCTCTGGGCTGTAACTGCTTCAAAGAGAAAGAAGAGGGGGAGGAAAAGAGAAGAGTCAAAGAGAGAAAGGCATAGCAAGCCCTGTGTGCCAGTCAGATTTCTGACTCCCTCAACCTAGGCAACTTTGACTTAACCAGAGTGGGTGTGAACACAGGAGGAAGAGGAGGAGTTACCTTCAAGCAAAGCTGCCTGGATTAGGAATAATGCTGGTTAGGGCTCAAAAGAACTAACTGCTGGAAGTGGGCAGGGGTGGGGGCATTTCAGCTTTGCTTGGGGCACTGCCACAAGTGATTTCAGACCATGCCCAGCAGCTAACTGAGCCACGGGAACTGGTACAGTAGGGATCCTGTATGTTGCCTAGGAACTTAGGTCCTTAGTTCCTGAGGAACTGTTGGGCCTGTGCAAAGCTCCACCAGGAGAGACCTGGTGGGCAACTGCAGAGGCTTCCATACTTACCAGCAGCTGATCACGATGCACAGCAACCAAAGGTGCAAGACCAGTGTGGTGACAGAAAACACTCCTCACCTGTTACTTCTCTCATACTTAGTAGTCACCCACCAGCCACCTGCTCGTTATATAGATAACAAGCAGGGTAAATGGCAAAGGCCCAGGAAGACAGCTAGGAGCAGTTGGCAATAGCCTGGAATGTCCTGTTGGGCTGATGGCAGGGTTGGGATACAGTTCCATCTTGCAGAGGTGAAACTCACAGTTCTTCACAGTACATAGGTATCGGGAACACAGCAGAAAGTATGAAGCCTGGCTAGTCCTTGGTAAGGATGTGTCAAGCTTTCACGTGGTAGAGAACCACTTTAAAAAACAAAAACAAAAAACCTAAAAGATCATGTCACAGACAGGAACCAAGCCATGCAAAGGAAGGCAGTACAAACTACAGCACATGAGCTTGGCATAGAAGCAGTTTGAAGGCCATGCACTTGGAACACCATTAACACTATGCAGAACATCGTGATGGCCCAGAGAAAGAAGAGTAAGGACTTGGAAGCCACGATCTTGAAACTACTGGAGACTTAGAAGAACCAAAAGACACAATCCAACAGGAAGAGAAAGCAGACAGAAGGCTGCATGCAGCTGGCCAAGCTGAGCAGGTGGTAACGACTCTTCTGCAAGCGCTTCTCACGAGAGTAGAGCTTAGCCAGACTGGAACCTGAAGGCCCTCGGACTCTCCACTGGCTGCCTTGGCGGGACTCGAACTCCTCTGCGGGGCCCATCGCCCATCAGATAGTATTGTAGGGGATTGGACCACAGCTCCCCTTTGATAATTTCGGCTATTCTGTCGAATTCTAGGAGGCTGTGGTCTGAGAACCAGTTGAAGAAACTGGGAATCGTGTTCCCCTCCCTATTCCTGTGGATGTGGGCCTGGGGTTCTTGACCTCGGTGCCAGCGGATAGGCGTAGAGAGTGACACCACGCGACCAGAGGATCTGCGCTCATATTCTTTGACCAGCCCCTCATTTCGGAAGTAGGGGTTGCTCTGGAAGATGAACTTAAATTTGCACCCTGCTCTAGGGTGCTTGAGCTCCTCCACCTCTAAATTGATCATGTACCTCATCATGTCTTCATCTTGGCCACTGATCATCGGTGACAGCTGGGGGTGGTTCCGAAAAGCGGTGACCCAGAAACCTGGGATGTTTTGGATGATGAAACTTCTGCGCTGCATGTGGAGCCTTCTCATCCGCCCAAATTTGCGTTCCAGCTGGAGGAAGGCCCTGTCAGCCTGCGCATTTACATTTGACAGCTCTTGATCGATGGCCTCCAACGAGTCCATGCAATTATTGATCTTCGGGGCTCTGGGACGAGTCTCCTCTTTCCCTCCTCCAGCTGCCCTTTTTTCCTTCTGTACTCCCTTCTTTTCTTGCATCGCCGCCCCTGCTTCTCTCTCCTTCCCCGTGGCCGCAGACATGGCGTTCTTGGTAGTCATTTCCTTGGTCTTCTTCGGCCCCGGCATCATCTGAGACCCCAGGCCCACCGCGCCACAGGCTTCCAGAGCTTTCGGCTTAGCAGGGCTGCGCGGCCCTTCAGGCTGACAGCCATTTTTACTGCTGTCGTCGGCTGCCACAGGGGCTGAGGGTGCGTCCCCGCCCTTTGATGGAGACGGAGCATCCTCCAGCCCCTCTCCCGCTGCCGCAGCACAGCCATTCTCAGCCACTCGGAGGCAGAGCTTTGGGTCGCGGGGCTCGGAATCCGGGGGCGCGCCTCCCTCCGCACCGGCCTCACCTGCAGCCTCCATCGCCAGCACCGTGTCGATTTCCTCGCGGAGCCCCTGGTCCTGCTTCAGATCCAGATCTTCAGAGGCATGGGCGGGGGTCGCGGTGTCAGCGAGAGGGAGCTCGTGGTCCCCTTCAACGCCGTTCATTTTGGCAGCTGACAGCCCTGCAGAGGAGCTTCCCTTGTCCTCTGCAGACGCAGCGCAGCACCGCAGTGAATGCTTAGCTCCACCCCCTTTCCTTCGGGTGCTACCATGGCAACCTGTGACGTCAGGGTACAGCTGCAACTAACCATAGCGCGAGAACTCGCAATCCAGGTAATTTCGTTTGTCAATCGAGTGTGTTCTTTTTGTCTTTTTAGATGATGCTGTAAATTTAATCTCATCTGGGAAATTGAGTATTTACATAAGTGGATGTCGTATTATATTTTACGTCTATTCGTAAGTCTTTAATCTCGACAATATCTAAACCATGTCTCAAAACAAATTTTAAACAAGAACCTATTGTCTAATAAAGTCAGATTTCATCTAGCTTCCCGGGAATAGAGAAGCGAATTCACCAGCTCACAGGCCTTCCTTGTTTTGGACACACATTCGATTCATGGCGGCTACTGAGGGATTGCGCAGAATCCGATTTTGGGGGGTGGGGGGGAAGTGTCGTCGCTGCTTTTATTTTCAAGTAAACAAGACATTCCAAAATTTAATTTCTATTTCTACAGAGATGTTGATGTTTGCATACATTGGTCGACATCTACAAAGCAACTGGATATTTCTTCACTTTTAAATAAATAGTAAACTGCTCCTTACAGGTGGCCACGTCGCATGCCATATACACAGTGAGCCCTTGAGAATTACTGAAGGAACTACATAGAACTTTAGAGGATTTTAATTTCCAAAACGATACATATTTGCTCCTTTGCCTTGGGTTATGAGGCTTCATGGCTGTGGGTATGAAGCCAACTAACATTTGCCCAAATTTGCCTTTATGAAGCAATTATGTCTTAAAATAGGTTCTTAAAGAAGAAAGTCATTCATTCAAGTCATCTTAGAAAATTTATTTATTTATTTTATTCAATCATGTATTTAAATAAATAAAAAGCATTTATTTATTTAATCACTGTCTCTCAGTTTGCTAAAGTCTGAGAATGGAGATGTTAATCCTTAGGGATAGGAAAGACCAGGGAGACTTAAATTTTGTATATTTAATGTTTCAATTCCTATTAGAACAAAGCTTTACAGCCCTTTGACCTGGGAAATTGACTCCCCCCAAGTATGGTTACACGAAGAGTCTTGGAATAGGGGTTTAAAGAAAAACAACATACCCAAGAAACCTAATGAGGAAAATTATGTCTCCTGGTTCACCTAAAACTCTGAGGTGGTGAGAAACACACATGCAGTTTTGATTTTTTTTTCTTTCTTTCTGCTCCAAATTGAGTGTTCTTATTCAAAGACAGTATGTCCAGACTGGCCTCTTCCTAGCCCCATCTCCCAAGAACGCAAAGAAAAGAGAAAAATCAACCGATCAATTATCTAAATAAAATAAAAATGTACCCCAGCACTTGGAAGGCAGAGGCAGGGATTTCTGAATTCAAAGTCAGCCTGATCTACAGAGTGAGTTCCAGGACAGCCAGGGCTACACAGAGAAACCCTGTCTCGAAAAACCAAAACAAACAAACAAACAAATAAATAATAAAAATGTATACACAAATAGCAATTATTTTTCTGGCCCCCTTTCCTTTTTCTCTTAACAAATGTTTTTGCCTTACTGAGGTGAAATCACCTCAGTAAGTTAAGGTATCATTAACTTTCTTTATCAACATATAAACACTGCGCTATAATTGACTGTGACTTTTGAGTTGTTCCTTAACATTACACGGCTTCTTTACCTAAAGACTCTTCACACTGTTGAAAGAGTAATAAACATTCTTGGACTTCAGCCTAAACCAAGATGCAGAGAATCACCAAATGCTGAACCGAGATACCAGGCAATACAGGAGGAAGAAAAAAGTTTGCTACTGCATCACTTCATAAGAATGAGAAAATCACATGTGGACTTCATTCTCTTGTATATATCAGTATTTTAAAGATTTCTTTCTACTGCTGGAAACACCCATGCCTATATTATATTTATTATATAATAAATTATGACTATTTTTCTTTCTTGAAATTCAGTATATTATAATGTATATATAGTGAAGGGGTAGGAAAGAGGAGACGGAAAGGAGATGGGGGAGAAGGGAAAGGGAAGCTGCGACTCTGTGTAGCTCTGGCTGTCCTGGAGCTCACTATGTAGACCAAGCTGACCTGAAGCTCAGACTCTGTCTCCAAAGTGCTGGGTCAAAGGTATACACCTCCACACCCATGTCTTTTTTTTTTTAGTGTAATTTTTCATCCATGTAAGATCACTGTAGTAATTTCAACATAAATGAAAGAATAATTTTAAATCTCTTTCAATATATAGATACTGTAGCACGCATGGATAGTTAGATGGTTATACATATGGAATCAGCAATGTATGTTACTGTTACCACCTGAGTCACATGGATGATACTAGAAACATTAGTGGAACTTACTGAAATGAAGAGCAATGTCACAGTAAAATCTGTGGGTACATTAGGTTTCAACAATTTACATGGTCCATATCCCTCAGTCCTAAGGCAAAATGTCGTTTTATGTTAGCATCTCTAACATGACTGTTTATGACACAGTCAATGAGAACTCACAACTGTTGTCATAAGACTAGCACTCTCAATGTCGCTGTCACTGTCTGAGTATAGTGTGAACTTGGTTGTTAGTCTCATTATCATAACTGGACAGATGCAGCCTCTTGGCATTTCAATCACCAAACTCTCTAAAACTATGCGAGGGAAGAAAGCTGGCATTCTGAGGCCTCTTGATGCTTTCTGCTGACATCTGGCCAGAGCAAAAGAGCACCAGAACCAACCTTTCAGGAGCGTAGTGATTTCTGAAACATGATGTCTTAGAACAACACTTTCATTAAACACTGGGACATCTTTTAAGAATGCCAAACATTTAGACTCTAAAAAAATTTTTATTATCTGATAGTCATGCATGCCTGAACTTGAGAGGAAGAGGCAGAAGGAGGGTTGCTACATGTTTGAAACCAGCCCAGTCTACATAGCGATTTCTAACCCCACCTGAGCAACACAATAGGGCCCTATCTCAAATATAAAAAAGAAAGAAAAGAAATCTCTCAAAAATTATTCAAGGTGCAAAGAGAAAGCAATGCTATGAAACATAAACACTAAGAATTATCATTCAAAGTATTATTAAGGTTATCCTAATTGGGAATTAATTGGAATAATGAGACTACTTTTACTTTATTTATGGCTTCCATACATGTCCATGGGAAATACATAAGTCACACACCTTTCCTTTGAAAACAGGAACTGTGTCGTTTTATTTAAAATGGTCTTAAACTTGCTGCAGAGCTGAATATAATCTTGATCTTCTCGATCTGCTTCCCAAGAGCAGTCACCATGTCCAGCCAATAAAACAATACCTTTAAAGCCTAAAAGTCAGTCAAATATAAAATTAAAATTCTAAGAGTCGGAATGAGAAAGTTCTGCACTCAGGCTTGATAGCTTGCACAGTATGAACTGGTAGTGTGTTTCACCATTGATGCTGTTAGTACAAACGAAACAGAAAATTACTGTTATTGTCATCTATTGTCTTCACTATGAAATGGTATTAAGTGCTGTGTCTAAAAATGTTTCACCAATGTGAAGGCTTACCGCTGGATGATTATTTTATAGAGGGAACTGTCCCAGTGACAAGTATCCCTTGGGTTCCTATAAACACCCACACACACTTACTGTAATAACCATAATTAGTCTCACAAATAAGTAGTACATACACACACTGGTGTTGGTTTTCTGTTTGTTTTGTTTTATTGTTTTTTGCTTGGTTGGTTGAATTTGTTTATGTGTTTTGTGTTTTTGTTTTGTCTTTCCAGACAGGGTTTCTCTATCGAACCCTAGCCATCCTGGAACTCACTCTGTAGATCAGGCTGGCCTTGAATTCTGCCACCTGCATGCTTGGATTAAAGGCGTATACCACCAGGTCCCATCTTGTTTGCTTAAAATTTATACATAAGGTATTTCCATTCCTGGTCCCTAAGGAAGAGGAAGCAGCCTGTAAGATAATATTAAAAATCTAACTGTGTCAGCATTTGATGTACAGTTTTCTCTCTTCTGAAGAAAATATTTATGGCAATTTTAGGTCATAAGTTCACTGAAATAACTGTGGCAGGGCTTTTCAGCATAAGTTCAGTATTCTACCATGATAGCTGAATCATATAGTCTTTATTCTACTTAGCCTATAAGTATGAAAAATGAAAATTTTTTCATAGGCATGTTTAGTCATGATGGTTTCCTGTAATATCTTTCATTAAAAACAAAGCAAAACAAACAATCACTTTATGTAATGCTAAAAGAAACCAAGGAGAAAAAGCTTGACTGAATGACCTCACACCTATATGGGTTGGTTATCCAAACATACTTTGTTATTTTGATTTTCTTGTTGTTATTGTTGTGATGGTAGTCCTGGGGTTTGAACTCAGAACAAGTAAATTTAGGCAAGCTCTCTATCACTGAACCATGACTCCAATCCAAGATATAAATTTCGGAGTCAAGTCCTAGTTTGTCTATGTAACAAGTTGGTTGGTGTGGATAAGGTCGCATCATACAAGATGAACAAAATAAAGATTACTTACAGAAATATCACAAAGATGAAATCAAGTGCCTGAACTGTGATATTCAAAAGACAACTTAGTCATGTTTTTTGCTGTTTTTCACTACGAATGTCCACATTAAATAGGCTATTTTGTAGGCAGTAAAAATAACAAATTCTATTATACAACTACTATTGGGCTATAGAAATTCAGAAAAAAAAGGGGAAAGAAAAGAACGTGTATAGAATGAAGAAATAAGTGAAATCTTGGGAAAGAGAAAAGTTGAGTTATAGCAAATGAAATGCAAGCTAACTAATTGAAGATTTGAAGCAAAAGGACATAGCCACAATACTTTCACACTACGGTGAATATTTCTGAATGTGGTAGTTGGAATAGGTATGCTCCCTCCCCTTAATCCCTCATAGACTCATATGTTACAATGCTTGGCCCATTGAGAGTGGCACTGTTAGGAGGTGTGGCCTTGTTTGAAGAAGTGTGCCACTGGGGAGGAGGGCTTTGAGGTGGACCAAAATGTAGAATTCTTAGTTCCTCCAGTACCATGTGTGCCTGTACACTGACATGCTTCCTGTCATGATGATAATGGACTAAACCTCTGAAACTGTAACCCAGCCCCAATTAAATGTTTTCCTTTATAAGAGTTGCCTTGGTAACTTGGTAACACTTGACAGCAGTAAGTAAGTAAGAAAGTAAGAAAGACACCAAATGATTCCAGACACATGCTATCTCTGGCTGATTAGGAAGAAAGGGGTTTATTGTGGGACTAAGTACTTATTACATTGTTCCATGCACTAGCATATTAATACTTTTTAAAATTAACTTTGTGATATCTGTGTTTTAATAGCTAATTTTAAACGGAAAAAACATACATACCTTGGCTCATCTACTAAGTACCTAATGATAACTTGAAATTACTCACTACACTTCCCTTACTGCTGATGAAACTGGAGGATTCACCAAAAGTAGCCCAAGTTAACTAAGTAAACTCAAAAATATATATTTAGCTGTATTTTATGGCAAAATTAGAAGCTGCCATAATAGGGTTCAACTGTCTTAGCTTGAAATGAAAAACTCTCTTTGAATGTAACCTGTGTTACATTCTTGGGTAACAGGCTTTTCTTTTCCTGGACTTGTATTACTTTGTCTACTAGATGGAAATAATGATGAAGAAACTGCAGGGTTACAAAATTAAGAGCATACACTAAATTCCTAATACAGCTAATAACGTATTTCCAATGGTTTCGGTTTTATGGTGGTGTGCATTCCCAGTATGGTATCTTTTAAGTGCAGACAGTTGAAGTGGCACTATCAGGTGTTATGTATGTTCAAAGTCACTTGGTGAGTGAAACATAGTGATTACCAGTAATGTTGCCGCCTACTATTATAAAGCATAGGCATTTAATGCTGTTTAGAAAACATGAAACTATTCTCATATGTTTATTGGGGGTACTTGCTACCTCACTGAACTTCACACATAAATGATCAAGTTCTAAAATCGGCCACCTACTTCGGGTCACATCCGCAAGTGAGATGTGAAAGTGCCCAAACCATAATATTTTCCCGTCTATTACTTTTTGTAATTTAAGTAAAAATAACTGCTTGTCAATTATCTTTCAATTCCAACAGAGTTCCTACGATATCATGAGATTCCATGTGGTTGCTGGGAACTGAACTCAGAACTTCTGGAAAAGCAGCCAGTGCTCTTAACTATTGAGCCATCTCTCCAAGTCCATCCCCCTACAATATCAAAAGAAGAATTATGGATGAAGAATGTTACAGGAACTAAACAGATGATTTTGAGGCAAATAAGGTACTTGCTTAATTTGCAGAGAATTTGAACCAGTTTTCAAAGACTTAATTTGAAAAGACAGACATTGGATGAAAAAACAAGCCGCCAAATCCAGTGTGTTCCGTGACCTGTGCCATAAGGACGGGATAATTGAACTGAGAAAAACCTTGTCTTTTCAATAGAAATTTAAGTTATAGCTCAGATGGATTCTATTACAAAATCTGGTTGTGTGTTAGCATAGTTAATGGCAAAAATATTAGAAACCATTTACTGGTAGTGAATTTATTAAGCAATGCATGGAACATGACTTGACATTCCTTCTAAGAGGGATATTTCTAAAATCAGTCTGTCTCACCAGACTATACTAAGGCAATTTGAAGAAACTGGGTAGAAGGAACTATGAGTAATAGAGTACATTTTACATTTTCATGATGGAATACCACGCTGATGCTACAAACACAGCTCAACTTGCCAGTGTCCTTAGAGGTATTTATGCCACTGTGTTCCTGGAAAACAAAACAAAACAAAACAGCTTTTTTAGTGCTATTAGAAAACAACTAGATCAAAGATCTTTACCAAACAGTAAAAAGTCAGCCTAGGAGCCAGGTGCTGGAGGCTAAAGGAGCCAGGTGGTGGAGGCGCACAGGTTTAGCTCTAGCACTTAGGAAGTGGAGGCAGGTGGATCTCTGTGAGTTCAAGGACAGCAGCCTGGTCCACAGAATGAGTTCCAGGACGGTCAAGGATACATGGAGAAACCTTGTCTGAAAAACAAAAAAAACAAAACAATAACAAACAACAACAAACGCCAGCTAATAGGATTTGTTCACTGTCAACATACAGTTACTGATGGTGCCTTGGAGACAGATGAAAAGGCGGGGGAAGGGTTTGTAATGTAACAGAAGACAATGTAACTGCTGTCCCAAATTCATGTTTAAAGAAGTGTCATTGCCAAAAAAAACAAAAACGTATGCACAAAATCATTTAAAATGGGTAATATCATGGAAATTGCCTTCAATCTGTGAATTTTGCAAGAGCCAAGGAATTAATCACAGACAATATAGGAGTCCCTTTAAAGTGTTAATGTGACAATTCAGGAATTAATGTTGACTATGGAGAGACCATTTACTTTTTAAAAGTGAGTTGGTCAAGTTGAGACCAAATGTTGAAAATATTTTATGGTTTAGGATATGTTATCAAGTTGTTTAACTGGCTTATAGATTTAGTACTTTTGTATTTAGCCTGTCGTTTAAGTGGGTTAAATGTATATTCAAGATGAAAACTAACTCATCAATAAAATGTTTCCAATCCAAATAGAAATCCAAATGAAGCTGAAATTATGGCAAGCTCAAATTAAGACAAACAACTTTATATATTTCAACACACAGGCTGAGCAGTTCTATACACAGGAAAAAAGGATGTATTCTTGCTTTTCGTTTGATACAGTTTGAAAACAGATTTCAAGATTTCTGGGAAAAGCATATTTTGGTAAGATACAACCGTATTTTCGTTTTTTTGTTTTGTTTTGTTTTGTTTTTAGAGACAGGGTTTCTCTGTGTAGCCCTGGCTGTCCTGGAACTCACTCTGTAGACCAGGCTGGCCTCGAACTCAGAAATCCGCCTGCCTCTGCCTCCCAAGTGCTGGGATTAAAGGCGTGCGCCACCACCGCCCAGCACAACCGTATTTTCAATCAACATAAATATGTTACTTGATAATTGTCAAAGGAAACACAAAGATTTTATCTAACACTCAATTTAAGATAGTGATTCTTGGTCTACTATGACCCAGAGAAGACAAAAAGTTTGGACATCTCCAACCTAGAGCATGAGTAAACATGGATGCTGAACTCTACTTCCAGTGTTTCTCAGCCTCGAGTTGAGCATTTCTAGTAAGATCCATACTGTAGTGTGCATACTGCTAGACTAGAGAGCTACCTTTAACATTTCACTGCTTAGGGTGATGGGGAGGACCAGATTGGAGCTGAAGCTGTCAGGGAATGGTCTTGTGAACATTATCATGTCCAGAAATGGAGAGGATGGCTTGCATTCTTGGTAGTACCCTATGGAAAGTACATTTGAGTATATCAATACTATTTACAAGAGAGTGCACACTGAGCAGATCTCATGACAGTGAGCAGGTGACTGAGCGTCTCTTCATTTGTAAGTTAGAAGACTCTTCAGCAAGATCAGTTTTGGCCTGGTACTATAAAATGAAACTTTAAAGGCTTAAACAGGTATGAATCCTCTGGTTATTTTATTTTATTTTTGGTTTTTCGAGGCAGGGTTTTTCTGTGTAGCCCTGGCTGTCCTGAAACTCACTCTGTAGACCAGGCTGGCCTCAAACTCAGAAATCCACCTGCCTCTGCCTCCCAAGTGCTGGGATTAAAGACATGCACCACCACTTCCCGGTTTTTTGTTTGTTTGTTTGTTTGTTTGTTTGTTTTTGTTTTTCGAGACAGGGTTTCTCTATGTAGCTCTGGCTGTCCTGGAACTCACTCTGTAGACCAGGCTGGCCTCGAACTCAGAAATCTGCCTGCCTCTGCCTCCCAAGTGCTGGGATTAAAGGCATGCACCACACTGTCCAGCTCCCTTCACCTGCCTTTGAGATATACTCATGTTATTCTATTTTGTTGGTGAGTAATGTTCCCTGAGGAGTTGTAAAAGGCCAAACCTCTAAGTCAGTTTGACAAAATGGAAGGAAACAGATATTCACTTACTTGAATTCAAAGCAGTAAACCTGGCTGCATCTTAGGGTATAATTAATTTGGGTGAAATTTCAGTCATGAAATTTGAAAGCATGTATAGATTACACGAGAAATTAACGTTAAGAAGGGGTGGGAATATTTGTCACATATTGTACCAAGCATGGTGTTGATACTCTCAGCTGAATGTCTCCATTGTAACTTGTTAATATTTGGAATCTTTTAGCAGTGTCAGACACACCAGCAGCTCATGAATGTGTGCTGCTGTTACCTTCTCAGCAACCTCATGATGTGTTGTCCAAAGCATCTTGGAATGCCAGCTTATGACGGAGGTCTCTACATTACAGGTAAGAAAACTGACCCTCAAAGTAGATCCCTTTGGTTAATACTCTGTATGATAATCCTTTTAAAATCTACTTAAGCCCAACATGACACAAGTACCTGTTCCATCATGCGATTGCTAAGTCAGCTAAGTATTCATAAAAATTAGTAACTTCTCTTGATCCATTTCATCTTTAATTGACCCAATTCCTCCCATGTGTTCACAAGGAAATTTCCTTAAATTAAAATGGAGCTAGAAAGGTTAACATCCACGTTTCATAGTGTGGAATTCTAGTTTCCTTTCCTGCTGCTGTGATAAACAAATGGTATAACTGAAAGCAACTTGGTAAGTGTGGTTTTGAATAGCTTTGACCCCCATAGATTCATGTGTTTCAATGCTTAGCCGTAGGAGGTGGCACTGTTAGAAGGTGTGGCATTACTGGAGTGGGTGTGGCCTTGTTGGAGAAAGTGTGTCCTTATGTAGGCAGGTTTTGGAAGCCTCCTATGATCAAGCTCTGCTCAGTCTTCAAGTCTGCCCAAATCTGCCAAGTGTCCCCTCCTGGCTTCCTTTGGATCAAGATGTAGGGCTCTTGGCTGCTTCAGCACTGCATCTGCCTGTATGATGCATGCTTCCTGCAGTAATGATAATGGACCAAAACTCTGAAATTGTAAGCAGCTCTAATTAATTGTTTTCTTTTATAAGACTTACATTAGTCATGGTGTCGCTTCACAACAATGAAACCCTAGTAAGACAGTAAGGAAAAGGCTTATTTCAGCTTACAGGTACATCATCAGAGGCAGAAATCTGCAGTCAGGAACTGAAGCAGAAACCATGCAAGAATGCAGCTTATTGGCTTGTTCCATCTAGCCTGCTCAGCTATCTTTCTTCTATGGCCAGGCCTCACCTGTCTGGAGTAGCACTGCCCACAGTGGGCCATGCCAACTATCAGTTCAGAAAATGACCCACAGACATGGCCACAAGTCAATCTGATCTGAACCATTTTTCAAGTGAGGTTCCTTCTTCCCAGCTCACTCCAGGTGTGTGTCAAGTTGACACCTATAGCTGACTATGACATGTTGGTAGGTGAAAACTTTCCTTGTGGGTCTTTAGAATCTCTGAAGTCAGGGAAAATGGATGAGCACAGTCCAGTGGATCTAAGTAGCACTAAGCAATGAAGAAAATACTTCTCAAGTTAGTCACTTACTCATAAAATGCTCATACAGGGGCTTGGGGATTTAGCTCAGTGGTAGAGCCCTTGCTTATCAAGCACAAGGTCCTAGGTTGGGTCCTCAGCTCAGAAAAAAACAAAACAAGCAAACAAAAAACAGATGCTCAAACAACTGTGACTTCTATAGTCTAGGACTCAATAGTAAAAAAAAATGAGAAGTTGCCACAATCTTTGATGCTTCTTCTTTGCCAGTTTGGTTCCCCCTAAATTTGTTTGTGTATATTTTTTTAGGGATGAGCAAAATTGAATTTTAAGGGGGAAAACACCAAACAAATGATCCTCCCTTCACTGAGTGAGTAACTCAAAGGCAAAGACAGCCAGTACTTTATCATCTCATTTAATCCTTATCACAGGCAAAAATAGTGATTAAGACTGCTAAACTTGTAAGGCCACACTACTTTTCAAAAGCAAAGTATGCTCCTTTGTGTGGTAAGCACTCATGAAAGTGACCTGATATAATGCCAAGCCCAGATTTGTTGTTGCCAAACAACTGTTAAAATACAAAGCCCATGTAACACATACAATGCCACTGTATTATGCAGCACATGCCTGGAGTATAATATCCTATTTTCAGGGTTAATTTTTAGCTATTACAATGTCTGAAGTACGTAACTTCTGAATATAGTACATATCTCTAAATTAGATGATACAGAGACATTTTATTCTAGAAAAAATATGAATCTACACTAATCTTTAGAATTAGTTAGAATTTAGAGAATATAAACCATAGTGTCAATTGAGACTCAATCTATTCTCTATATATCCAGAAATAGACTGAGTTGCACAGTACATTTTATAAAGAACTCATTGTATTTTAGGTATTAAAGTCAATAAAAATATTTCACCCTCTTTTAACCCACTGTTCTTTACTAATCGTCATTTTAGCTAGATGACCCGACTTACACAAAAACACGTGCAGTTCATAGGAAGAAAGTAATACTGTTTAACTTTTAAAGATATATTTACTTCGAGATTCATTAAATACTGTTCCATATAATTACTACTGGCCACGTTAAAATAAAGGAAAACTGATTTTATATGTCATATAAATATAAATTTATATACGAAATATATATTTAGCCTCCATATGTAACATGAAAACCTGAAATATCTTATTTTTCACACTGTGTTTGTAACTTAGTGTATAAATGAAACTTATAGCAAATCTCAGTTTAGAGCAGATAAACATGCCCAACACCAACCCATGATTAAGGCCGCCAGTGTATCAGACGACACATGCCTAGAGTCTAATAACCTATTTTTAGTATTAGATTTACCTTACAATGTTCAAAAGCAAATTACAAGAGTATTCAACATAAAGTGGCATTATTATGGCAGATGAAAAATTATACATTAAAAAGTCTAAACCTTGGGGCTGGAGAGATGGCTTAGTAGTTAAGAGCACCAGACTGTTCTTTTAGAGGTCCCAGTTTCAATTCCCAACAAGCACATGGTGGCTCACAACCATCCATAATGGGATCTGATGCCCTCTTCCAGTGTGTCTGAGGAGAGAAACCATGTGCTCACCTAAAATAAATATGTCTTCAATTAAAAAAAAAATTAACCCTGGTCCAATTATTAGAAAGAGAATTTTACTATTTATCAAATAGCTTTGCAAATTCTTCTGATGTCAATCTTACTAATGCTTTGAAAACTATCACCATGGTTTTTAAGGCAAGATACCAAGATACTTCACATGTACTTCAAATCTTTCTGGTCACCTGAGTGGTTTGTTTTGTCATTCTTTGATTTGCTGACAACTCTGTGCATAACATAGTAGCTGCACTAAAGAACTAAAATACCATTAGCTCTAGTTTCACAAGGTTTCTAAACTCTGAAGGAAGTAAAAGTGAAACTGAAATAATATCTTTCTCTACTTACTGTACTATGGTAAGATTTGCATATCAAGTCTGAAAGAAATGGAATGTATCCATTTTCCTTTTCAAGACCTAGCAGAAGGCCTTAATCAAAACTTGTTGAATACTCTTGTAAAAGTAACTTGCTTTTGAACATTGTAAGGTAAATCTAACACCAAAATGAGTAATTATGTTATTTTCCAGCAATAGGGGTCCCTAAAAAGGTTATCTCACACTGGGCAACATAAATAATACAAGACAGAGAAGTTACCATAATAGGCCTTGAAGTATTTGACAAGTGGAAGATAATGATAAGGTTAAGAAAATATTTTCACAGATAAAAAGGTCTGAGAATAGTATCGCATGGCAAGTACTTTATAAGTGTCTGCTTATGAAAAGTATATTTTAATAACATGAAAATATCATCTGTGGAGACAGAAATTATGAACCTGAAGAAGTGGAAGTATGGTGGTACTGCACACTTTGTGTGGGAAGATCTGAAATCTCAGTAAGCAGTTGTAACTGTCAACCTTCTAAAGCAGGAGAAACATTACTGTGTTCTCTTGGTACCCTTGGGAAAATGTCCATTGTGTTTTCATTTAAGGAATCGAATAATTCAACAATCTTTGTCAATTATACAAACCCATTAAGGCAGGTTTAAGGCCAGGGTGGGAATTAAAAGGAAAAAAAAGCCATCCAACAGGGTGCCATGCTTTTATTTACCATCATGCATAAAAATGGCAACGAATATACTCATAGTACAGTGCTAATCTGACAAAGTACTTTTACAGCTATGTGCAGTTTGAGAAGAGACTATCAAGACAAGCAAGTTACATATTTACTTTGCCATGAAAACAATAATTTGACACATTTGATAAAGATCAAATTATCCAAACTGTTTCTAAGAATTTGTATTAATATTGAAAATTGTTACAAATATTCAAGTCTCAATATTGTAAAGCTATTGTTTTACAACATTCCAAATGGTTTCAAATGAATGCAAACAAAAGCGTTTAAATTTTTTCTGTAAGTAGAAACAAGTAGCATTTTACTAAATATTGGTAAAATATGGGTACAATACTACACTTTCACTTATATCAGATCACATATAAAGAGTGGAAAATAACCCAAACTTGCACTGCTTCTTTAAAGAAGCACTGACTAGGCAACGTTCAACACTCAAAGTATTTTTCCTGAGTCAATTATTTCTCCTTCCATCACCACTGACTGACCAAGATGTGAAAGCTCTGAGTCCTGTCTTCATTCTCAGCCCAATTTTTATCTGACTGATTTTGATTCTAAGCCTTTTTAGTTCACTTTCCCTGCTTAGAGTACCCATCAAAGTATCTTTAGTTCTTCCATACATTATTAGGAAGAGTTCAGCTGTTTCCACCTAGTTCTGCCTCCCTAGAAGCTTTTTAGGGCTTGCTAACCAGGCTGGGGAGTGGGTAAGAGAGGAGACAAGGCAGAGTTCTGTGGCCTCTTTTACAGAGCATCCTTTCAGGAAACACCAAGTATAAATGAACCACAACTCATGATCTTAAGGAGGTTTCTGAACTACTTTTCTTTAAAATAACAGGAGAAAGGTGGGAGAGTGAGGGTGAGGAGCACAGGCAAACACAATGGACTGTGGTATAGCCTAGAAAATATTGCAAAAAAGTCAAAAGATAACACAGGTGACCCACTCAGGCAACAATCTTTAGGTCCAGCGACTGTCCGAAAACTTTGTGCCTACATTGCCACATGCTGAACAGATAAATAGAAGGGCCCCCAGATAAAGCAAGACATCTAGGTGGTAGTAAAGGGTTAACACTGAAAACAACAGGGTCCAAACAGTGTAAAGACAGTGTAATATACAATTTCATTGTTAAGCTTAGAAAGGGTACAAGCCATGGCCATGAGCCAGCAGATACTAATTCAGAACAGCATGGGGCCCATGTGAAAGCAGAAGCATGTCCAGAGTCTTAATCACAAGGTGGAGACACTATCCAGACAGAAGATGCAGAAAAGTCAGGAGGAAAGAAATCAAAACACTGCGTACCCGTTGGACTTGCTCAAGCACAGGTGAGAAGGGACCTGTTCCAGCTGCATTTTCAAGCACAAAGATTAACCTGACTGGAAGCCAAAAGGCCTGGGAATCTCCACTGGCTCCCTTATTGGGCGACGTCGGGGTCTACGGATTCCTTCACGAGACAGGTAGTACTGCAGTGGGTTTGGCCACAGGTCCTCTTTGATAATCTCGGCGATTCTGTCAGATTCTGGAAGGCTGTGGTCCGAGAACCAGGTGAAGAAGCTGCAGATGAGGTCTCGGTTTCTGCGAATGAAGGACTGGGGCTCATGCCCCCTCCGCCATATGATTGGAGTGGAAAGAGACACCACTCGACCAGACGATCTCACTTCGTATTCCTTGACAATCAGCTTGTTTCTGAAGTAGGGGTTTCTTCGAAAAAAGAACTTGAATTTGCAGCCAGTCTTAGGGTGTCTGAGTTCCTTCACCTCCAGATTGGTTACGTACCTTAACATCTCTGCATCCTGACCCCTAATCATGGCGGACAACTGAGGGTGGTTCCGGAAGGCAGTCATCCAGAAGCCTGGGATATTCTGAATGATGTAGTTCCTCCGTTCCAGATAGTGTCGCCGCATCCGCCCAAACTTCTGCTCCAGATGCTGGAAGGCCCTGTCGGCCTGGGCATTCACAGTGTCCAGTTCCAGCTGGATGGCCTCCAGCGGGTTCGTGCGAAGATCTATGCCCAGATGCCAGGGCCCCGCCGCCTCCTGCGCCTCCCTCACTCCTCCACTCGCCTCCAGCATCTCCAGTGCCTCAGCCGCGGGCTCCTGCTCCACCTCCATCACCTCCTCGCTCCCTTCAGTCGCCCCTTCCGACTTCCCTTCCGCTGCCACCGCGATGGCGTCCCGTTCAGTCGTCACGGTCCGGGCCTGGGCCTCCTCCGCATATTTCGGTGTCACGAACGCCGCTGCCGCGGGACCCTGGACGGGAGGAGGAGTCTCTCCCAGCCTAGCTGCGGCCACTCGCGTCTGGGGGCCAAGGCGCGCGACACCTCCGGGAGCCAGGCTCCCCACGATCCCAGCGCGGGCCTCACCCGTCACCGCCTTCTCCTCGCCGAGCAGCGGACGCCGGCCTGGGGTCCCCGGGACAGTGTCAGCATCGCATAGGCCGCGGTGGTCGGGGACGGGAGTCCCGTCGTCCGGCTCTTCGCCGCTCATGTCGGGTCGGGTAGCACAGACCTCAGCTTACACACAACAACCTCCCGGACCAGGCAGCTCCGCCCCCCGCCGTCTCTAGCCCGGTGACGTCACAGCCGCAGCCCGCAAGCATCGCGAGAGTCTGCAGCGCGCCTGATTGGTTCTTCAGCTGGGGTTGACTTCCGTATTTGTTTGGCTTCTGTAAGTGTAGCGGGTTGCGTTTGTCACGTTTATTTCCGTAAAGGAATGTCAGTCACCCTAGGAGACTGAAGGCTGCGGCGGGGCTTCTGGAAACCTCCTCCGCATCCGGGCTGCAGCCGTGTATGTGTGTGTCTGTGAGTGTGAGCACAGCCTCTGCACTGCCTACTGTCCACGGTGTGCAAACAGTTCATCCACTTACCACTTCTGTGAAAAAGGTCAAAATACCGCCTGGTGTTCGAAAAGGCTAGGAGCCAGAATGTCTGTATTTAACCAAGATGAATGCCATGGTGTTCCTCTCCGCTCCCCTTTCACAGGACTGAAAGGTTAGGAAGTCTAGCCTGTGTGATGGCCCTTGCCTGTCGTCTCAGTCCTGAGGAGGGTCGTTGACTTAGAGGCTAACCTGGGCTGCATACACGCTGGCTCAAAATAATAATAAAAACGCAGTTCTAACCTCTGACGTTACCGGGGAACGAAGCTCTGTAGGTTTGTTTGGGGGATTATTCTTTTTGGAAGATATTTTGTGGTTATAATTAATGATTGTTTTTACTGGTGCGTCTGGCGCTGTGATACACACCATATTGTATAGTTCGGGTAACAATCCTGTGATGTATTAAGATATCCATTTTATCGAGACAAGGAGAAACTCCTATCAAAATAACATAGAAAATGACAGAGCGATGATTTGAGCCTAGGGGATTTGATTCCGGGGCTCTCTGAACAGAATGTGACATCAGTTTAAGACATTAGCATAAACGCATAGTCAATGTCAAGTTGATACATATTTTCTCCCATCTCCTTTCCTCATTCATAAATAAATTAATATTTAAGAACACTTTCATTTCCGTTCTGTTTTGAGAAAAAAGAAGGTAGTTATTCATGGTCCTCAAATTCAAATTTACGAGAACAAATGTCACCTGTATAACAAATATTTCCAAAACCCTAACCATTTAACTTCTTTCGATAAAGTTCATAGACAATATAACCAAGCTACACACATAAATAGAAAACTTAACAATTTTACTATAAAACTTATTGTAGTGGTGGCGATTTTTGGATAGCAAAGGGGTCACCTACTTAGGTCATTATATGACGGGGCGTTTATCACACAGTGGTAAATGCGCCAATAAGAATGATGTGGTTAGAAAATTACACATCTCATAAAAGTTACTGTGGATGGAGAGTGACACAGATGTCTATATCAGGTCTTCTGAAACTGTAATCCAATTTTGGTGAAGTTCTGGATTTATAATGTCCCCTCCTCTCCCCATTGCACTGTTTCTTCCACACAGAGAAATGAATTTCTAGTGTTAAATACTTGCTAGGCATGTTATTCCCAATGACTGTCACTAAAGGGAGCCACTTGTCCTTTAGAAACTGATGCTGCACCGATGAGAGAATGGATTCTTGTAAATGAAATTGACCCACAGTCTTTTATTGAGACTAAACTGTGATTGTTAAATGATGCATCTCAGGCGTGATTCGTTTTATTATGATTTCCCACTAGCCATCAGACCGAAGTGTTCCACTTGGTTCTGTTTAGTCTGACAAGGTCCCCATTTGTCTTGGACTTGATTCAAGTTCTATTATTATTACTCTTTTATTTGACCTGGACAAGTCACTTCACCTCTCTAGGCAGGTAAAGGTGCTTGCTGCCTAACCTAAAGATAAGTTTAATCCCCAGAACCAGACCAATGTGGAAGAAAGAGAAAATGATTCCTGCCAGTTGTCCTTTGTTGTGCATGTGTGTGTGTGCATGTGTGTGTGTGTGCCCACACACACTCAAAACCAATAAATTAATTTGATTTGTCTCAACTTTTTCTTTGTTTTTCTTTTTTTTCCTTTTATCTTTTCTTTCTTCTTCTTCTTCTTTTTTTTTTTTTTGTTTGTTTTTCAAGACAGGGTTTCTCTGTGTAGCTCTGGCTGTCCTGGAACTCACTCTATAGACCAGGCTGGCCTTGAACTCAGAAATCCACCTGCCTCTGCCTCCGGAGTGCTGGGATTAAAGCTACTGCCACCACTGCCCTGCTATTTAAAATAATTAATACTTAAAATGAAAACTATCATTTATATTTTAGAACTCTAATATGAAGATGACACAAGATGTAAAAAGTAAAAAATGATATGTAAAGTAGTTAGCATTATAAGCTTTTAATTAACAGAACATAGTAATATTACTTACATTTTATGCTGAAGCTTACTTGTATTTTAATTAAATTTTTGTACACTAACTTAATGATTTCCTATAGAGCATTAATTAATTAGATAAAGGTATTGAGTGTGTGCTTTATGGAGGAAATGAACTTGACTTGGTTCCTGCTTTGGATAAAGGCTGACTGACCAAGCCAGCTCAGTCAGTCAGCAGGTTCTCCAGCTTAAGAGTGAGGATTAAAAAGAAAACAGACAATTACACAACACTGCAGCATGACCCCAGCCATTTCTGAGGCTGAAGCGGGTTTTTTTCCCCCAATCTGCTTTTATACCATTTTAATTACATGCAAGTAATAAGTCAGTTCTAGGTTGAGGAACAAGCAATACAATAGATGCAAATAGTCAAGGAACAAGCAAGGCAATAGCAAAGTCCTGTGATCACTGCTTCTCATGATGACCAAGATATCTGAGCCCACTTCCCTGTCCGAGCCCAAAGTCATATTCTTGTCTGAAGCCTACTTCTTAGTGCTAGCCTAAAATCTGATTCCTCCCTGAACTGACTTCCCTGTTCTAGCCTAAAATTAGATTCCAGCCTGAACTTACTTCCTTGTCATGACTCAATGTCAAATTTCTGCCTGAAGCCCACTTCCTTGTCCTGGCCCAATGTCATATTCCTGCCAAGTGTCCCCAGAAGCTCTCCACAGCTGACCAGCATAAGAGGTGAAGCCTGGGGACATAGGAAGCATATTTGCACAGTACTCCAGCTACTGCACTGTGCATTCTACACTTGTCTAATATAACTACCACATCCATGCAGCTACTACTGTTGTATCAATCAAAGAGAAATAAAATTGTTAGCTCATCAGCCACACTCACTTTATTTAATGTGCTGAATGGTAACAGGTGAGAAATGGCTGCTAAACTGAAGAGCACACAACATCCCTCGTGAGACAGTTTGGTTGGACATTTTTTAGACACAGCATCATGATAGGGGAAAGAAGGAATCCTGGAACTAAAATGGCCTACAAGAAGACAGCAGAGACACCACTTATAAATGCTTTATGCAGAAAAAACAATGGAATCCATCCTTTAGTTCACATTATTAAAAGAATATATTTGTATGTGTAATATATATTGTATAACATAGTTGTATGTATTGTATATAATATAAACACATAATTTATAAATTATCTATAATTTATATAATATAGTAATATATATAATCATACATATAATATATAAGTAAATTGGGAAGACATAGTAATATTAGAAGTACTTACTGCCTCACATAATATCAAATAGATGATCCAGATGTCTTGCTCCTTCACTATGAAACCCACAGTTGTAAAATAGTTTACAAAACTGAATAAGCCATCACTCTCTGGAGAAAAGAACAAAATGAATTGCAGCAGGTGCTAGAAGTCTCACTTGCAAAATTTGAAAATTAAATTATTTATAAAATCAGAAAAATAAATTATTGTTGACAAATACCCACTATACTTTTGTAAAGTGATAGTGTAAAATAATATATAAGACATTAGTATGTTATATAGGTGTTTTAATGTCACTGTGAACCATAGAGACTTAGCTGGTATAATACCTGAATTTAACAGGGAAGCCACTTCATAATATGGCTTTTGTATCTGAAACATTTCAAACTCATACAGCTCAGAAAGTACATACAAGGCAAAATATTTCTGTGTATTGACTAAGTGCGGGGCATATATCTGTAGCCAAAGTTCTTTAAAGAGTGTTTCCATGAATTTGTGTTAGTCACAATTCATTAAAACTCCAGACCTCATTCATAATCTTACAAAAATACTTTCAAATATATGAGTACAGACTCAGCGTCAAAGAGCCTTTTTAGAACAACTAGACCTTCATGATTAAAACCACAATAAATAAATAAGTAAATAAATAAATAAATAAATACAAATAATGAGCCCTCTTATCTTAAAAGGAAAATTCCATTAAGTTCAGTCATTTTTGAAGTAAAAATTAATTCAACATGAAAGGCTAATATTTTGATATCTAATTTGATGCCTTAGTTGTCATAATTCTTCATCTTTCAGATGAAAACTCTGCCTTGTGAAATATTTGACTCTAAGATTATCCTGTAACTTCCTTTGATTTGTAAGCAAACATGCTATGCATATCTGTTTTGAAAATGTGAAGGCTGATTTGGAAAGAGATCATTTGGTCCTTCAATTTTCAGTAAAACAGTTCATAGACATTGAACTTTTGCCAAATAACATGTGTTGTGCTAAATGTATCCATGCCATAGAAGTAAATTCACTTTGTTGTGAAGATCAAGATACCTCTGTAAAGTCATATTAACCACTCCGTAGTGGAACATAGATATAGCCCTGTCTGCCTGACTTCAGAGCTCTTCCTGCTATATACCATGTTGCTTTTCTGACTTCTTGAAATCTGTATCAACATACAGAAACCTAAAAGTAACTGCTGCCTTTTTCTGTTGACATTTTTTCCAGAACCTGTATCTTGAATGATAGCACCCAAAGAATTCCTAAGCAATGTTGTCTGCATTGAGTGAATGAATGATTCTACCTTTGTCAGAGTTAAGAGTTTCTGTTGCTGAGATGAAAGCACCATGACCAGAAAGCAAGTTGGGGAAGGAAAGGGTTTGTTCAACTTACACTTCCACATCGTAGTTCATCACTGAAGAAGTCGGTGCAGGAACTCAAACAGGGCAGGAGCCTGGAGGCAGGAGTTGATGCAGAGGCCATGGAGTGGTGCTGCTTACTGGCTTGATCTTCATGGCTTGCTAAGCCTGCTTGCTTATAGAAGCTAAGAACAGCAGCCTAGGGACGGCATCACCCACAATTGGCTGGGCCCTCCCCATCCGTCACCAGTTGAGAAAATGACTCACAGGCTTCCCTACCACCTTAACTTCTGGAGGCTTTTTTATTTCCCAATTCAGGCCCTCTCCTCTCCAATGGCTCTACCTTGTGTCACGACATAAAACTAGCCAATATAACCCTGAACTTAAACAACTGTGAAAACCTTAATGTAAGTTACAATGTATTAATCTAAATATAAAACATAGCTTTAGAAGGTACGTATTCTTCAGTAGAAGCAACTATTGTACGTGGAACAGTTTGTAAAATTATGTTATGGGAGTTGGGGACGTGGTTCAATGGCACGGTGCCTGCATGGCATATGTGAAGGCTTAGCTTTAACATCTACACTGCAGGGAAGGACAAAGGGAGGCAGAAAGGAAAGGATCCGACCCGTTTAGGATGCTGTGTAATCCTATTGTAATCCTACGTGCAATCCTTATTATCAGACAGTTCTCCATAGCCCTCCCCCCCCCAAATGGGGAGGGAGCAGCTCAGTCCTCTCCTAAAGGGAGAAACTTTTTCAAGCAATTCCCCTGTGAGAACTCATTAAATTCTTTTTCCAGAATTGCATCACAAACAAAATAAAGTAGAGACAGCACCTAAGTTTGCTTCGCCATCCGTAACACCCAAGAGTAGAGGCATTTGCCACTTGTTCTTTCCAGACACAATAAACTTAAAACATTCTTTACTGCACACAGAACACTGAGAATGTGATACAATTCAGAGACTCAAAACATGGTCTGTGTTCACTGGGGATATATAGCACTGTGGAAAAGATAGAGAAATAAATAATCAAAACACCAGATGGTAAATACACCAAGAGGTGAGAGTAAAGGACTTTGGGTAGGCAGAGAAGGGATTTCTATGATTGCAACTGGTAACAGAACCGAGTCAGGATTCACAGAACAGATAATTCTGAGATAAATCCTCATAAGAAAAATAAGATTATAACAAGAAAGGGAAGTCAGACAAGTTCTAGGCTGACAAAACACACCAAAACACAGGCAGGAGTTGAGCCAGCTTCAGAGGGAAAGACAAGATGATCCTTAGGTCCAATGCTTCCATAAAATGGAATTCAGTGACAGTTAAGAACCTCCCTTCTGTGCTGTTATATGTGTATAATAAATGATCGTTAGTTAAATACAATGATTACATGTGCCTTCATTAGTCCTATGGGTTTTAGGGTATTTGGGATGGGGTTTAAATGGAATACATGAATCAAATCAGGAAATGAAACTAATCACCATATGGAAGGTTTGTACCATTAAAAATTGGCATATCAGCTGTGAATTTTTTTTTAATTTAGGCAGCATCAGTGAGGGCATATTTAGAGATATGGTTATAACAAAAGACAATAGTAAATAAAACAACTGATTAAAAAAATCAATGTTAGTTTGAACAGTGATTTAAACCAACTGAAATTCAGTCAAAAATCTTAATTTATACCAATAGGATTCTATGTTATGAAGTGTGTTAGTTGGTTTAATAAATGAGCTAGAAACTGCCTTGAGGATATATTTGATAGTATTTCTTTTATCTAAAGTATATTTTAAAATATGTCAACTAATAATTCTCCCACAGTTAATAAAATTGTTATGTGAGTTTAGCATATAGAAGATCTATTTTATATAAAAGATGTAGGTGCTAAAATTAACAAATGTTAACTATCAGCCAAGTTAAAAGTAACCTCTGGACTACATTTTTGTTGGTGTCAACAGATTCCCTTTAAAATAGAGATGTTCCTATAGTCATATGATAGTATAAATAGCTTGAGTGACCTACCAGGTTTAGATTGAACTTTGGGGTTTAAGCATATTAACGACAGTACCAAAGGGAACCCAAACGCCCTTTGTCCAGTTCTTGTAAAGACTGAAGAGATAGGATCTTTTGGAACAGAGAGTAGGTGGTAGGTATATTTGTATATGTATATGAAACTGTGTCAGAAAAACCCTAAACTCGGAGGCTGAGTCCAAACCTCAGCACATCATTTTGACTCCATCTTCAAACCAGAAGGGACAACAAAAAAGAAAAATTCTTGAAAAACAAATCCTTCCCCCATTATCCTCTCAGGAGATCTTAAAACCAGCAGTAGTTTTCAGCAAGTCCCATGAGTGTAAGTATTGCAAACAACAACATAAAAGGAGGTGCCTCTGCCCTTAGTAAACCCACAGCACACGCAGACCTTAATCTGGAAGGTAGTCATTATATGCCACGGAGAGTTGGCAGAAGAATAGGCAGATAGAATAGTGTCCATGTCACTGCTCCCAAAGACATCTATTAACTACTCCTCATAGGCTGTGAATATGTCACCTTCACAGGGAACTAAAGTTCCAGATGAAACTAAGGTCCACAATCAGCTGACCTTGAAGTAGGGCTTTTCTGCAGGATCTGGTGTTGTATTGCAAAGATCCTTTAAAGTATCTAGGCAGGCAGAAGAGGTCAGAGTGACCCACTAGGTGAAGAACTCAACCTTTCATTGCTGCCTTTGAAGAGGAAGGAAGGCACCATTAGTCAAGAAATGCCATTGGCTTACAGGAGCTGGAAAGATCAAGGGAATGGCTGTATCTCTAGAGGCCCTGGAAAGACTATAGCCCTGATAATTAATGCCTGCAGTTTAGTCCCATGAAACTCTTTTGGACTTCTGTTCTCACAACTGTATAAGGATACATTTGTGCTGTAATAAATTTGTGTTGGCTTCTTATAACAATTGTAGGAAACAAGATATGTAAAACATTTCATGAATTTTTACATTTATGATAGTCATACAGTTTTTTTGTCTTATGAAACTTGTCACATAAAACCTTTGACTTTTCTGCATTTGCCTACTGATCCAGAGAAAAATAAACAGTCCTTTCTCCCTCTCTCCATTCATTGAACCCCAACTTAAAAAAACAAACCTGGTCCAACCACATTCTCTTCCTATGAGCCCTAGGGATTGCTTACATATCTGTCATGATATTTATATTATTTTATCTTGTTTCAAGTTATTTATTTGATTTATCCTTCCCAGTTTAGAAACAAATTGAATGTGAGGAAGATTCTCTGGAGGTTTACTCTTCCTAGAATAACATCAATTTTCACGAGGCAGGCAGTGCATGAGTATAGAAAAGAGAGTGAACCATAGTATCAGAACATGCCTACTGTCATGCCAGGGAACTTCTTCTGTGAGAGAGACAGAGAAATTAGTCCTCACTAATGTCATTGTGTACTATTTAAACTCTTGCGGAAAGAGAGGTCTGAATATTGAGGAACAGAGAAGTTGCCCCCTCTTCTGGTTTTGACAATAAATCCAGCCAAATTCTCTAAAATTATAGCTTTAGAAACTGTGAGCATAGCCGGGCGGTGGTGGCACACGCCTTTAATCCCAGCACTTGGGAGGCAGAGGCAGGCAGATTGCTGAGTTCGAGGCCAGCCTGGTCTACAGAGTGAGTTACAGGACAACCAGGGGAAACAGAGAAACCCTGTCTCGAAAAACAAAACAAAACAAAACAGAAACTGTGAGCATAAAGTGCCCAAAGGTATGTGAAACTGGAAGTGTAAGTCAGACCTTCCCCTGAGGAGATTCTAGGATTGAGAGAAAAAAAAAAATCTTGATTTTGGGTCTTTATAGAATTTGACCTCTTAAGTCTTTAGGACTATTATAACCAGAAAGTACTTGATTCTTGTAGCCCAGGAATTTTAACACTATGAAGAAAGCTGGACCAGTATCATAGCCTTCGCTTCAGAAGTTTCTCATCTGAATTTTTGACTCTAAAAGGAACTAAAGTAAGAATTAAAAAGGCAAAAGAAATTTATGCCATGCTTGCCAGCCATAGGAATGGGCAGAGAAGTGAGCAGAGTTCTAAGTATAGTTACATGTGTTTGCTAATGTTTTGGTTTTTTTTTTCATGACATGGTTTCTCTAGACATCCTGGAACTCAATCTGTAGACCAAGCTGGCCTAAACTCAGAGTTCTCCCTGCCTCTGCTTCCTGAATATGGTGCCACCCACGTGTGCTCAAGTTTTAAAGGTACTTGTTGATGCATCCTGTAAATTTTAAGAGGAGGATATGACAAACAGAAACCCTAACCTATCAGCCAGGAATGGTGGTGTACGCTTTTAATCCCAACACTTGGAAGGCAGAGACAGGTGGATCTCTGTGAGCTCAAGGCTATCCTTGTCTACAGAGCTATTTCTAGAAACCCTGGCCTACTGCAATCCTTACAGATAAGCTTCTGTCTCTGCTACTGTGTGTCTGATCTGACTCTGCCATCACAAGCAGTGTATGTCCACCTTACTAAAGAATATGGGTGGCTTATTCTTTTATCCCAAATCATCCCACAAGGCAGCATTAGTAGAAAGCACAATTCAAACATGTATGTGCATACAGTGATTAGATACATGTTAGATATAGGTAGAAATATAAGTCGGGTCAAGATAAAAATGAAGCTAGAGGTGACAGTGAAGATGAAGAGGGGGTCCAGGTAGTGATAAAGTTAACAGAGAGTTTCTTGTGCACTCAACTTCACCCAATAATAACAACTCCAAAACTACAAAGAAACTACAGCATCTTTTTGTTTCTTACCCTAGAGGGCCAAAATAATCTTGGAGTGTATACTGTTAATAGTTGCTATGATTAAATGTGGTAAGATAGCCTAGAGGGTTAGAACATTTGCCTC